GGAGATGAGGGAGGACACAGGAAATCAGGGGTGGAAGAGGTATTTAAATGGTTTACTTAAGTAAAATTACCACAATTTCAATATATTCCATTGAAGTAAATGTCCTGCATTTAATATTTTACTAATGTAAAAATAGAGAAATATCATCAACAAAAAATACTTTTAAGTATTGTAAACAAAAGTAATCACTATGTACAACTGGCCCTTTATATTGTGCTATTTTGAAATATTAATTACTCGATTGTTATCAGTGATGAAATCGTGAAGCTCATTTAAACAACCTATGATTGATGAGTAGTTTAATCTTTTTGTTTTTGAAAAATCTTCCCGTTATTCTCTCGATTAATTGATGTTTAGTCCATAAAATGTCCAAGAACAGTAAAAAACCCTGCTTATTACAAATCCTTGGGTAATGGCTTCAGATGTTTTGTTTTGACCAAGAAATAGTATAGTAATATAAAACCCAGACTTCTATCAAATCCTCAATCCTTTTATTTAAAAAAGGTAATTAAAATATGGATCAATTTCATTATTATTCATTATTATTATGTCAACTGATTATTGATAATAATTATACACAATGAATCTATAAAATGAAACATCTGTGTCAAGCTGATTATGTGATTGTCAAATTATGGCAGAGTAACAAGTAACTTCATCTGTCAGATAATGTAGTGTAGTAAAAAGAACAATATTTCTTCCTGCACTGTGTTGGAGTTTTAGTATAAAGTAGCATAAAATGGATTTACTCAAATAAAGAGTACTATATTTAAGTGCATTATTTGAGTAAATGCACTAAGTTACTTTTCACCACTGCAGGTAATACCAATGAAGTGTGGCTGTGGCAAAGGCAATATCTTGTATGATCAAATTAAGAATCAAGCAATTAATTAGTTATTAGTTAAGTAACTAAGTGTAATTTTTTAAAAAAGTGTACATTGAAAGGCTTAAAAAATGTAAGAAGAAAAAATATCAACGATGCAAAGTATCACATTTATCTACCTGTAAGGATAGCTAAGAGGATAATCCTCTCCTTCAGTGTCCTCCCTTGTTGCTTTATCAAGCATGAGTAGAGACCACTGTCCTCCATACTAGGAAGAAAGAACAGAGAGAAAACCCCGGTGTCTTGAAAGTTAGGGTCAATCAATCGCATGGATGCCTTCGAGGCACCACCTGAGAACTCCTTCCTTTCGCTGGCTGAGAGAACCAGTTTCCATTCATCTGCACCAAGTGACTGCACCTTCCAGTTAATGGCTACATCACCCCTCACTGTTGTATCAGTACAGACCAAGGTGGTAGGCATTCCCTCTCTAGCTACCACAACATCGTCCCAGTCTGAGGGAGAGAGGACAAAAAGTTAAGCATTACAACAATTATTCAGGCGAGTTTTTAAGAATGTCTTGAAATTCTGCAGTTTCACTACAGTGCTAAAGCAAAACTCACATGCCCATATGTACATTGGAAGTTACTGTAATTGTTCCCTCTGTCCACACTGGCTGCAAATAGATCCCTTCTTAGACCAATTTTAATCTCAGTGATGGAGGACAAAATCCACATGACAATTTCTGTCTGAAAGGACTTCTTGAGTTTTGCTGAAGCTAATATGAGGTTTCAGCAGTCGGAGTCAGTGAATTATAATGGGTGTCTTCCAGAATTATTATCTTTTTAAGTGCCAAATTCCCTCTTTTGTGGCCCTGGACAGTGTTTCTTTGCTGAGCTGCAGCAGATGGATCATAACAAAAAGAAAGGATTCTACACATAAAAAAACTATAACTTTGGAAGATGACCACTTAATTCATATAACAGACTACTAACGCATCATATTGGCTTCAAATATATATAATATGCATTTTTACACAGGAAAAGTACTGTGGATTTTGTCTTACACTGAAATCAGGAATTTAGGAAAGGGATCTCTGCAGTCTCTATGGACAGGAGGAACACTTACAAAGCCCGATTACTCTTTCAATTCATATATATATTCATGTGAGTGTTGTTTAAGGACAGACTGGAAAAAATGTGAACCTATTTTTTAAAGATGGTCTGAATCGGATTAAAGCCACTAATGTTATCAAACTGACCACCTGGGATATAAAGGAACTCTGGCTTATGGATGACTCATCATTTACCTTCAAGAAAACAAGTTCATTCATGTTTGCACTCTAAAAAGCAGCCATTAGCTGTGAAAATGTAAGCTCCCTTCCCAGCAAGTGCAGTAAAAATATATTTCTAAAATAAAGTATTTCATACCTGTGACGCCAACGTGAGAGGAATATACCGCAAAGGAAGAAACAAGAATAAAGGTGAGAAAACCAGACTCCATCACACATTAAAAGAAAAGAGAAAAAACACTCTCACTGCACCAGCTGTCGCTCCAACACTGTGACCTTTCTGAGTACGCCAAAGAACACCAAGTATTGTTCACTTTCCTGCAGTATTAGTGGTGTCCCTGACTGACATGTTAACAAGTTTGCTCTGAATCTTTCAGGCCTAACAGGATGTGGCACGACAACCGCTAGGATAATCAGCAGGAAAAGACTGTCATTATTGCCATCAGATGTGTGTGTCTGAAGAAGATAAACTACGTAATGTATTACCGTAACCCCACACTAGCCCTAATGTGTGCTTACAATATTTTACACTTTGGAGCAGAACTTCTGGGCAATTAGTTACAGAACTTTGGACCTTAACATTTAGCTTGACAAAAGGAATGAGCATGTACTCGTGTGTATCACAATGTGTGTATGAAACAGAGAAAATGATAAGAATAGCAGAAAACGAGGGATTGAGGAAGATGAAAAAGCAAGAAATAAAGAGTTTGGGTTAGTGTGGGTGCACAGCAACCCCTAGGCTACATGTCTTTACATCCCATAAATGTCTTTAATTAAGCTAAAGGTATTATCAGCTCCTCTGAGCACTATTACAGATTTTTCCATAATTACCATTGGGTGAATGGGGGCGGTGAAGAGAGATAGAGAAAGAGAGAGGGAGAGGGAGAGAAAGCAGATATGTATTGTGGGTGTCTAATGACAGGGAAAGAGAAAAAAACGGAAGAGCAGCAAGAGGGAGAAATGTAGAGGGAGAGGTGCTCAGACAGAATGAGAAAAACCCTGGGAGAGGAGAAGTGTGAGAGAGTGTTGCAAGGGGAACAGATACAGTGTGACTTCAAAGAAGCCTGTGGCGGCTGACACAGAGCGTGGTACTGATCCTGTGGCCCCTCCTCTATGGGTAAAATAATCACCATAAGCCCTGGCTCTGTCTAATGAATCCACTGCCAATGAGCTAATATCTGTTAACTACGAGCTTCATTATCACTGCCACAGACCCCCGGAGAGCACAAGGATGGAGGACGGGATGAATAGCAGCAAGGAGTGAAGGACGAGTGGACAAAGGAAATTGAATGACACAGGAAGAGGCAAAGAGAGAGGGAGAGAATGGGGGGAGGAATAAGCAGGAAGGAGAGGAAAGTGATGTGTAAACGAAGGGAAGGTGCAAGGCGTGTGAGATATCTAGAAAAAAAGGTGATGGACTGTATAAGTAAAGTGGGTGGTAGCTGGAAAGTGGAAGGTGTGAAGGTCGATTTGGTATGAAAAATGGATGAGTACCAGAAGGAAAAGGAATGAAATTCTCTATTTCGAGGCTACTTTCTTTAAACCTCCTTATTCTATTCCATGAATGCATACGATTTAGTGGTCATATGGGGTGGCCCCTGAACAACTGCACACTTTATCCGACTGCGTTGGTGCTCAGACATTCAGCTATAGGGCCAAAAGACGGCAGCAAATGAAAATATGGCAATGCAAAGTACCATCTGCATTTAAAACCCCCAGCTGCTTTGTTTGCATGGCAGATGCTTTCGCAGGCTTTAGATTTGCAGTGGGCAAGGAGTGGAAAGAAAATGAACCCCTTCCGTCTATCTGAAGACATAAATATCCAAAAGAGGAACCTATTTGAACAATTAATCTGTTTTTAATCCGTGTGTGCAGAACATTGTTTGACCTTTGAACATTATGAGCATCTTTTGAATTTACACCTCAGAAATTCAGTCTGGAAATAAAAGAGGGTGACACTGGAGGGGAACTTGGAAATAGAACAGAACTGGAGGAACCAAGCAGCGCGGTTTAAACTGCGGGTCTTATGAAGATGTAATTACATTGGCTGTAAAACACTTGGGTATAGGGATTAGACCTAAACCAAATAATGCCTTCGCTATGCTAGTATGCACCCTGCTCCAGAGGAAAATAGGGCAAAATGAATTGGAAGTTATTCTGTGGAAGAAAAAAAAAATCTCATCAACAGAGAGTCTGCTAGAGTCTGCAAATAGATACATGAGAAGCTGTTTCCTCTTGATTTGATTTTGCTGACTGCCACTGGATTTGTATTTTGTCGTTCATTAATGAATGTTTATTGATTTTGGCATCTGCTGTGCTGGAGCTAATCTCAAGTCTGTGCGCAGGAACAAACAGCAGAGGGCGTAAGAATCATCTGTTTCCGCGTACCTCACCACTACATCAAAACTGTCTGACTTGGATACATTGTGTAGTAACTTTATTTGTTTTTTGTTCAGGGTGAATGCCGCTTTTCTGTATGGATTAATTTAATATTTACCCCACATAACTTTCTGGTTATTTAACTGCACTGCACCGTGGCTGCAAACTGATTAAGATAACTTTGATGCAATATTGAAGAGTGGATGAACTGAGCTTATACTTATCAGCTGTTGGGGCTTGTAAAATACAGCTCTATGGGGAATATTCCTGAATATGACTCACGCTTTTGGATCATCTGTGTGTTTTTTCTTTTTTTTTCTAAGTAAAAGCCTGCTGCGCACTTTAAATGCCATCGAGGTGCAAGTTGTGATTTCCAAGAAAATAAAATGCTTCTGGCGCTTTCAACAAGTTGCTCCCAGAGTCCCCCCTCCTGCCATTGCTGGTCTGGTCCTAATTGGTTTTTGGGGAAGCGGGGCTGTGACGCCTCTCCTGCCTGATGACATCACCCAGTCAGTCACACACAGTCGGACAGCCGCGCGCTCAGAAGAACTAGTTGTTGGTGTAGCGAGAGAGAGGGAGAGAGCGCGCGCAGCACTTCATTACATCCAGAGCACCAGCTGAGGGGTGGAAATATTCACCTGTGTGCTGCCAGGGACGAATTCACAAGGATTTTTTTTCATTCATTTTTAAGCAGACTTCGTCTTAAAGGCGCCGTAGAGGGACACAAACAAGAATTCCAGTCGGACCCCTGGTCTTGTCCTGCAGCCACACAAGTTTTTCTCTTTGCCTTGAGTGAGTGAGGTTTGACACAGAAACTGACCCGCATCTGAAGGCGTAGTTTTGGTTATTTATTTCGGAGAGACCCGCGTGCCTTGGTTTCAATAAAGAGGACCGTAACCAACCATGGCGAGACATGACGCCCGAAACTGGCACGACTGCTCAAAAATGATCGGACTGCTCTGCTTGGTCGCGTCGATACTTCTTCAACACGGTAAGAAATTATGAAAACTTAATAGTGTCCAGTTCGTTGTCAGCAGCGCACCTGTCTTTTAATTTCTTCTTCTTCTTAATAATTTATATGGGGAGGGGGGATCAATTTAAACCTGACTACCACCTGTCAGGGCGGTGTCAGGAGCAGAAAATCCGGCAGGTGATTTCTTTTTACTCGCTGTACTGTACGAGGGTTTTTTTTAAAAATTTTTTTTTAGCTTTAACCCTTAAAATTTCTAAGGTTTCGATTACAGTCGAGTGAAATGAGATTGTTTCAAAACTACTGGCTCTTTCTTTTACCTCAATCCTTTGGTGTTTTCGGTCAAGAGCTATCTGTGTCGCTCTTTGACCCGAGTTTCGGTCGGTGACTCAACGCCATGTTTAGTTTTCTAAGGTGTGGCTCTGTGGAGCAAGGTGTTTTTCCCCAGCAGGTGACTGCTGACCGGGAGTGTAGTGTCCTCGTCTCTTTAAACTGAGTCACTGTTTCTAGTATGTCCTTGGTGCTGTCTCGTCTCACCACCAAAGCCACCCTTCTCCTCCTCCTCAGCGTCCCCCCCCCCCCTTTTCTTCCCTCTGTCCGCACATCATCTTCCATTAGTTACAGTTCAGTTGAGAGAAATGGGTCTGGAAACCGCTCTTAACGTACACAGAGAGTACCAGTCATAATCATATATACTGTTGACAATCATTTACCGTATGCTGACTTTCTATATCTTTTTTTTAAGTGGAACTTCTTTCAGTTTCCCTTCAGTGAGCCACTCCCATGTAGGCCCTTCTTTGTAATTGAGTTGCTATTACTTTAAACAACGTAACAAGCTACCACCCTGCCTTTCCTGGCAACCTGTTTATTATACAGGTTAATTATTCAGGTGTTTTCCAGTCCACTTGAGCTTAAGGTGGCCTAGCCTACAGGTACCACTGCCACAGCGAGTAGGCCCAAAGATGAGAGGAAACATTCCTGGCATGCAGTTAACCTATTAACATATGAATGCGTGTGTGTGTGGCATGAAACCAGTTCAACATTTTCTCTGCTTTCCTTGCTAGGTCAGCTATTTGTTTTTGTGCTGTAATTGGGGCAAGAATGTGGGACCAGATCTGGCACAGCTACAGTATACATTTTCAGTAGTGTACAGTAATGCAGTTGATTGCGGTGTTGTTTTAATCAGGAATCTTAAGCGCACTCACTCTATTGACTTATTCATGCAGTGGACCTTTTTTGTCCAATTTCATTTTACAGAACATGAAGTGCTCTTAGGGGAGGGAGAAAAGTAGGGGGGGGAACAAAACAAAAGGTTTTACATATTTATGAGCGAGGGAAAAATGCAAGGCTTAACCAGTACATGCAAAACATTGCCTTTTAGTTTTCTTTCATTTAAGATTTTTTTTTTTTTTCAAAAGTGAACCTCTGACCTCCTTTTGGGTAATAGTTAAGCTATGCAACTTAAGCTGCAACTGCGGGAGCTAAAACTTTTCACTTGTCTACTTTGCATTTTTGGTTTTTCCATTTCCTCTCAAGCTCTGACAGCAACCACTTACCTCCACCTTCCATCCTGTGTCTGAGAGTGAGAGAAGTGATTTAATTCTCTGCAAAGTCTTCAGTTTAATACGGCCTAGCTGTAGTGTAAAAATTCAACATTGAGTTTGATGGGTTTTTAATTACAGTAGGCTTCTGTAGTTACGCACAGACACACACGTACACACACACACACATATATATATATATATATATATATATATATATATATATATATATATATATATAATTTAATAGAAGCTGGTAGGTGGGCTCTGAAATTACACTTTAATACCACTCCCATCCCCCAAGTCAAGGTTATGAGGGACCGTGAATGTGGGTCAGAAAGGCTTGGCCCATTACCATGGAGATGTTTTTATTGGAAGAGGGGTGGGCTTATGTGAGGGGGAATTTGGGGTGGGGGGTATGAGGCTATGGCAGCATTGTCTTTATGGCTGAGTAAGCTGTGTGCGTGCAGGGGGTGGCTGGCTAGCTGGCTGCCTGAGAAACTGGTGGGCATGCAGGGTCAAGGCTGGGGGAGGAGGCTGCTTCCTTCTTTACTCACAAATAAAGCAATGTTTGTCTTTGTATACCTGAAAGCCTCCAGCTTATCTAATTCAGATGCAAAGCTACTCTTGACGGCTCTCCTTGGTTTCGAGGAAACAGGTGGCTTTTCTGCAGCCTGCTGCATTGCGCGGGGTTGTAGCTGAGTTTGAGGATTGGCTGGAAAACTAAACGGACAGCAACTGATTAAGACAGGCAACGCCCCACCTCCCCTCTTTCCCACCCGCCACTTGAAACCTTCCCCTCTCCCGCCATCCCTCGCTCCCTCCCCCCAGCCATGCCGTCGGGTACATACAAGGGCCTTGTTCCCGTCTCTTTTTTTATTTTCAACTATCTTTCATTCTTTCCTGTCCAGTGCTTTTGTTTGAGTGACGGTTGTCATTGGTTTATTTGTATGGCCTCTCTCCCCCCGTCTCCTAGCTTCTTTAGACTGAAGGCCATGCTTTTTATGACAGGAGCTACACGCAGGAAGACCGCAAAATGAACCACACAAGCCCTCACAGTGGTCTGTCCCCATGGCTGTAAGATTTCTTGTCAGCCAGAGCTGCAGCCCCTCTGCAGGATAAAAAAATAAAACTTCAGAGTCATAGCAGCTAGTGTTGTAATGACTTGTGATGGAAATCTTCCAGCTTTTTCACAACACCCTGCCTTCCCTCAAACACACGCATACTTCATCGTTACAATCAGTAACTCTGATGAAATGATGTTTCTCTTGGCAGTCTTACTTGCACAATAACTCAAACTATTAGGTCTAACTTTCTCACTCCACATGGAGAGATTCTGTGTGAAGAGTGTAGACCTGCCAAGCCTGGCACCATTCATCAGTACAACAGAGAAAGAGCATTACACTCTGTCTATTAAGAGAAATGTAGCTGATGGATCATGACTGGAGTTTATTTTTTTTCCCCTCCCTAATAAAAGAAGGAAAAAGTAAGTCCTTAGTATCTCATTAGTCCCGGCGGAGTGAGGTGCTTCGGTCTTGGTTTGGTTTTTTTTGTGTTAATGGCTGTCGCAGTTAGGTCCTATCATTATGTAAATGAGCTGTCCTCGCCCCTTCGCATCGGCCCTGTAAATGTCAGAAGGATTTTGAAAAGGTCAGGTGTGCGCGTCTATATGTGTGTAAGAAAGTCTCGTTCTGGTCGTGGCACGCACCGGTACATTTACTAAGGGGCATTCCTGTTTAAATGACACATCAATAACCTCCTCCTCCCCCTTATAATCACCATTAAGAGTTCGTTGATTCAGACATAAAAAGTGTGCTTGAATTTACGGTTTAATGGAGATGTGATAGGGATACCGTGTGTGTGTGTGTGTGTGTGTGTGTGTCTACATCGACACTGTGGCAAATGTGGTCCCATTAATTTTAAATAACTGAATTGTAGAAAGACTGAAGCAAATATTTGGCATTTCACCAAATGAGCCTAATGATTTAGACAGCTTTCTATTATTAAATGTTGTTTCACCAGGTACGCTATTGGAAAAAAGTGATTTCAGCTTAGTGGCAATATTTAATGGATGCCTAGAAATGAAGTACCTCTTATCCAACAATAAACTAGTGACGGATGGAAAGCTTTTTAATAGATGTATTGAAAACATTTTAGCAGCAGGCACTTTTCATTTTTAAAAACCTTTTTATATATGGAAGTTATATTTATTAAAATGATGTTGATCCTCAACATCTTTCATGGTTTGAGATATCCAGAAATTTTGATAAATGAGTTTCAGTGAAATTACTTTGCTGTGTAGACTTTTCATTACCAGTGACCAGAAACACAAAGGATCCATCAGGTTTATTGTTGACTTGGCAAATATTATTAGACGGGATGGATGGATCTGAAGAGAGGGAGGTCGATGAGCATGAATCACTGCATCTTGTTGCATTTTAGGCTGGGGTATTGGACCACAAACACAATTGAGTACACACACACTCTCCCACACATACAGATACTGCTGGTGATGAATAAGGACATCAACCTGAGGCTGCGCTGTAAGTCAGATGACATTCCAATAATAGGGGGTAGTCGTCACATCGCAGAATGACAGTGCATGTGTGCATTACTGTTTCCTTCAGGAAGCGGTGTATCATCCTCATCAGCAACCCTGTTATCTTCCGCAGACATCAGATCTGAGGACATCCTTTTTTTATCGCTCCCTGCTCATTTAACTGACTATCTTTGAGGACGCTTTTCTTCCAACGTGTAAGTAATGATAGTGGCTTTCCTATAACAAGAGAGCCTAAACCAGGACCTCTGTGACGGCTTCATCGCCATGTCGGAAGTTCCCCCTTTTTGCTTCCGCCTACATGTTCATGCTGGATGCTTTGCGGCCTGTGTTGAGGTCACGCTGAGAGCCCCCCACAGGGATGTTTGTGTTTGGCTCCCAGGGTTGCCAGACTGCTGGAGTCGGTCCCATCTGATACAAAGGAAAATGAACAGAAATCCCAGTCTTAGAAAGAATGCCAAATGTCATTAATATGAATAGGGGCAGCAAAGGGGTTTCCAAAAACACAACTGTGCAAGAGTCAATGATGTTCTTGGCAGAGGTGTTGGGTTAAACTGCTATCTACGTGAAATCTATGTGCATTAGCTCACACACTGATTTGAGTTCAATGCAAGAGACCATTCCATAATGTACTAGAACCACCCACATGTTTCTACATAATGGAGAGTTTTAAGACTGTACTATTTGCAATAGTAGCATGCCAGCAGCTTATCTTGTATAAAAACTGCTGTAGGCATGTGGTTTACTTTATTTTTCAGTCACACACACATTTCCACACCATTAGTCAAGATACCTTCTGCCAAATCTGCATTTCCCTATGTCTAACAAACCCCAGATGGAATTTAGGCAGATGCAGGTCAAACCCATTTCAGCTCAGCCAATGTGGAGAATGAGCGGTAATTCCAATTGAACATCCATTGAAA